GAGGAGGAGGAGGAGGGGGAGGAGCTCGTGGCCTGGAGCCCCAGGAGCGAGGGGCGGATCGCGCCGGTCGGGGTGCCCCCAGGATCGAGGAGCGGGGCGCAGTGCAGAAGCGAGATGGGTCCCAGGATGAGGAGAGGAGGAGGAGGAGGAGGAGGAGGAGGAGGAGGAGGAGGAGGAGGAGGAGGAGGAGGAGGAGGAGGAGGAAGGAGAAGGAGGAGGAGGAGGAGGAGGGAGAGGAGGAGGAGGAGGAGGGAGGAGGAGGAGGAGGAGGAGGAGGAGGAGGAGGAGGAGGAGGAGGAGGAAGAGGGGGCCCCAGGATAATTAAGTCGGGCCTGTACCCCTACAGGGAGGTTTTGGGCGAAGAATTTCCAAGTACCCAAAAAATAAAATCACAAATTCTGAAACATAGTCAACAAATCGTCCGCAGACCATTTTTTGACTACTTTTGAATATTCCTCCTGTAGAGGGACAGGCCCGACGTAACCCAGGATCGAAGGGCGAGGTGCCCCTGACGCCCTGGCGTCGTGAAACAAGCAACGGGATGAGCTTCTGCTGTTTTCCGCCTTCGCGCTGCCCTCACCGGGTCCCAGGACCGTCGGAACACGGCTCAGGAGGAAAAGCCCCTCTGGGGATGTCTTGCGAGTGGGGAGGCAGTCAAGTCATCGTATGATGATCTCCTTTGTTGCTGGAGGCTTCCTCGCTTCGGGATGCTTTCTGGCAGCTGCGCCTCGCCAAGAGCGTCCCACGGGGGGCCCCCCTCATTCCGAGCGAACGCTGGAATCCCGAGGTAAGGCCCGAAATCAAGACTTGCAACCCGACTATCCGCCAACATCACTGCGGAGCGTTCCCTCCATTTTGGGCCTCTGCGGCCCTCGCTGGGCCTGGGGGCCGTCAAGAAACTGCTCGGGATCAAAGCTGGGTCCTCCGGGGAAAAGGTCGGGACTTCCAGGGGAACAAGACATCGAATTTCTGGAGCCGGAGCCCTCGAGCTCGACCTTGAGGATCAAATTTTTTGAGGCGCTCTCCAATTGCTGTGGGCCTCTGGGGGGCTCTTGGTAAACATGGCTGGGTTCCCCATCGACCTTCTGGACGGAGCGCAGGTCCCATGGACAGGCTGCGGTAGGAATGCTTCATGGGGGGGTTCCGTGCCGCCGAAGCCGCGATTTTGTTCAATCCCGCCCGTCTTTCCTCCCCCAGACCCCTCGCGTCGTGAAGCAATCAAGGCGAACATGTCTTCGCTCTTCTCGGTTTCTGGGGGCCCTCGCCAGCCCCAGGATCGTCAAACAATGGCTCGGGATGGAACGGCCGTCCGGGGGCATGCGTCGAGACATCGGCGGGCCGACCTCTGAGAAGCTCTCCAAGCCTCCTCCGACGCCGCAGGAGGCTTCTCAGAAGGCCAGAGGGCTTCACAACCTCCCGAGAAGGCCTGCCCCCCTCTCCCTTCCCCCGTCGGCGCGCCGCCGACGACCACCCGATCAACTAGCGAATCTGAAACTCCCTGCGCGCCAGAAGAGATGGGGCTTTTGCTGGGCCCATTTTCCACAACCACTACCATAGGTAGGAGATGGAGGAGGAGGAGGAGGAGGAGGAGGAGGAGGAGGAGGAGGAGGAGGAGGAGGAGGAGGACCCTCCCTATCCTCCTTTCTCCCCCGTCCTACCTATGGTAGTGGTAGAAAACCTGCCCATCAGGGCTTCTCCTCCACCGGCCACGCTCTGGCCCCAGCGGTCGGAGGGATCCCCGCACCCAGGCTGCTGCCACGGCTGGCCATCCAGCGAGACATCCTGAGGGCGGCGAGTGATACACCCAGACATCCTTGAAAAATTTGTTCCCCAATCCATTTCTACCCTCCTCAATTTCAACCTCCGAGGGAGCCGCTTTCGGGCTCCTTCTCCCAGCGAGGGAATTGGGAGGTCTGTGGCCGCGTAAGGACGAAACTTGCATCATGACGCGTCTGGCGAACTCGTGACCCGAAAATCATCACGGATGTGCTTTCGAAAACGGCCCTGGGGCTTCTTCTCGGCCCTGGGATCTTCCGAAAACGACTGGCAAGCAACATGGGCCACGGAGCAAGGGGCCGAGAGCACCACGGGCTGGCGACCTGAACAACATTGGGCCGTCGGTTCGGACGCACAGCGGCGAGAGTGGCGATGATGACCGACCTTGGACCCGAGATGGCGGCGATAGTGGCAGTGGTGACAAGTGATTACGATAGTGATGCTGCGGACTGCTTCGAGCGCCCGGAGCCCTCGTAGGGACCCGGACAAACGTCGGATCGTATACCAAAATTGTAAGCTTGACGGAGGGCGGGCGATGCAGCGCCGTGGTCAGCGTGCGGGGGCCATGGTAGCCATGGTTACCTGCACTTGCGAGCCTCGCAAGGGCATGCTGCCGCAGAGAGGATCAACAAGACAGCACAGCAGCGGACACCACGGACGCGATGCGACCATATGCATCCCCTTGCGAAACTAGGGCTTCGCGCTCTGCGCTCCGCGAAGCGCGATTATGTTCGCGCATTCGCGCAGCCCCCCCCCCTGGAACAGGATGAGGGACTCGCGCCTCGCTCTGATATCATCCAGACCGCCGAGTGCTACTAACTTCCAACCCTCGTGGTGGCCCTAGAGCAACAAGACAGCACAGCAACGCACACCACGGACGCGATGCGGCCGTATGCCTGCCCCCTTCCAAATTGTCCGGCACATAGATCCCGCCAACCGCGCGCGCACGCCGCCTGCGTGCGCACACCTGCGCTCACTACGCGCATCTGCAGAGCGCCTGCTGCGTGGGCCCATCGTAAACGATCCAAGCCAACACGTCTCCTGTGAACGCGACTTGTGTACACCACCCTCACGAGCAAGCTGGTCCGGCACAAGACCGTGGAGAGAGAGTTGCGTACAAAATTGGCATCCTCTGGGGTCGCGATTTTGTACACCATCTCCGCGAGCAAACTGATCCGGCACAAGGTACGCGCGGAGGGGCGGTGGCCATAAACCGCCTCCTGATCTCCCGAGCTTGGGACTTCCCTCGTGCATTGGGCTCGGCTGTTTTTTTGCAGTGGCTCCGATGCATCGTCTGTCTTGCCGGTTCTGCCCCACGGCCACTTTAGTTGCAGCCTGTCCGTGGCGATGGCGGTCGGTGAGGTCCCTTGCGCGGCCTGTGGGGGAAAAGGAGGGGTGCGACCAAGATTTTTCTCGGCTTTGGGATCAGGGCACGAGGTCAGAGCCCGGCCCCCTCGCAGACCTCGGCGCACACCCTTCGTGCCCGCTCGGGCTGCTGTACTTTTTTCGCCGCCTCGCTGCCCTTCTTATCACCTCGAGTGCGCCGAGGTCCTTGCAGCAATTTTAGGCCGCTGGTCCTAAGTCGGTTCGTTCACGCACATTAGAATTCACGAACGCCGCGAGCCCCGAGTTTGACGTCCGATCACAGTCAAAAAGAAAGGCGAGACCCAGCATTTGCTCGGCTTTGAGACGAAGACTAAAGGTCAGAGCAGGAGCAGATGGAGGGAGGGAGCAAGCGAGAGAGGGAATCCATAAGCGAGAGCACAGGGATGGTATCAGGAGGACGAAGAGAAGGAGACTAGCACGAGGGGGAGGGGGGGGCACATGTGATCAACAGGAAACCGTTGTAGCTCAAGACATGGGCAATTTAGCGGCTTCGGAAGTCATGGCAGCCTCAACGCCAAGACGAGCTGCCATAAAACACCACGCTCGCATGTGCCTGTGCTTCATCGTGGCAGCATTCATTCATAGCATGCATCAGCAGATGCAGAATCGGCCCCACGCGAGGCGGGAAGGGATCGAGGGAGTTCACCAGCAGCTGCAATTGCTCAATTGGCGCCGAGTATCATAGCACCAGGAGCAACACCGTAGCCGACAGCATCTGCTTCGCATGTGCGTCACCATTTGGCAAATCAGTTCGCATCATGATGCCGATGTTGTTATGCCAGACTCACATCTGCCCATGTGATGACACATTCTTGCTCTTCACGACGTTGCAGACAGCGTGGGCCGGCATGTCAACTAATCTGTTCCGCCGCTGACATACTATGACGGCTGGACAAGTGAGCAGTGCGTCGAGCACGCGCAGCAAGATATTTATGTACATACCAGAGGCGACACATTTGGAGCACAAGCCCCATACACCAACAACCATGCAAAACATTAATGTGTCACCATGATCTCGCACGACCGGCGCATTCGGCAGATTTTCGTGCATCATGGCAACGCTTTCAGGACCATCCTGTCCATACGTGGCGCAATGCGTCTACGGAAGGTGCTTGAGCCGAGACACCTGCACACAAAGATGATGGTGATGGCAATGATGGTGGTGAAGACGGTGATGACGACGGCCATGCTGACCACGGCGGCGACGGCACTATTTGTTGCACGCATCTGGTGGCAGTGGTGATGATCCAAGAAGCAACGACATAACTTAACCATAAACTTTCGGAGGTCCGCGCGGATCTCTCGGATCGGCGCTTGACACCCGTCCGCAGCGCGCAGAGCCTTCCAGGGTCGGCGCAAGCGGGCCGGGCGCCGATCCAAAAGAACTCCGCGCGGAGTTCCGACAGCTCAGGTTCTCCGAGTCCACGGCGGCAATGACGATGGTGACCCTGATGCCGTCTGCAGACCACGCTACCGGCACCCGCACTGGGCGGGTTCGTGGCCGCACCGGGCGCAGGTGCCGAACCCCGCTGGCTCCGGCGGCTGCCCCGCCCGCCTCGCCGCGCCCGCGCGGGCGAGCGCGGACCGGACCTCTGCAAGCTCGTGGCCCCGGTCCTCTGCCAGCTCGGCCCGCACGGAGGCACAGATCGCCTCCCAGTCCTCTTCGAGGGCGCCCCTGCCGCCCGCGGCCGCGGCTCCTGGCCGCGCCTTGTGCCGCCTCGTCCACCGGCCCGCGGGCGCTGCAGCCTCCACTGCGCCCGCGGGCCTCGCCCCCGCGGGCTCTGGCAAAGCGAGAGCGGGCGCCTCGAGCGCGGCCCCACCTGGGGGGCCCTCCCTGGCGCCGTCGGCCGTCGCTTCGGCCCGCGGCCCCGCCGCTCCAGAAGGCTCGCGGCGCTCGGCCTCGTCGCGGGGCCTGCCGCGGCCGACGGCCGGCTCGGGCGGGACTGCGAGGAGGCCTGCTGCCTCCGAGGGCACGCCGCGGGACGCGCCATCGCCCTGGGCGGCCGCGTCCTGGGCGCTGGGCCGATCGCTGCTGATGGGGGCGGCAGCGGGCGCTGCCGCCAGAGCGTCTGCGGTGGGCGGCGCGTTGGCGGTGGTGGCGGCTTGCTGGGGTGGCTGGGCGGAGTGTCCCCGACAGGCTTGCCCGCGCTGCATCTTCTGCAGCAGGCTCGCCCACGGCGGCGTCGACCCGCCGAGCGGCGGCGGCGGTCTGCTGGCCCTTGAAGTGACACCTGCCGCTGGGGTCTGCGCAGATGCCGCGGTGGCCGCGCGCGGCCTCGGCCGCGAGGCCGTGGCCAGCTGCCGCGCTGGGGGCGCGCTGCCGATGGAGGCGAGCACGTCGTCGCACTCGTCGGCGGCGGCCTCCTCTGCGGCCGGCCCAATGAAGCCAGTGGCTTCTGCGTCGAGCGCAAGACGTCGTCCTTCAAGCGCGGAGCCAGAGGGCCCCTCTGGAACTGGAGCCAGCGGTGGGGAAGGCTCCCCGTCGCCCCACCAGAAGGATGACCCGGCCGCTGCGGCCAGGTCCCCCCCGCCAGTTGCCACGAGCGGCCAGCCCTCGTCGTGGAGGCGCAGGGAGTGCAGCATCTCCTGGCGGGCACCCTCAGCGTACACCAGCACCGTCGGATTCACCGCGTCTCCGTTGGTCCTCTTCGCCCGCAGCAATTGCACCAGCCTCTCGCACAGTCTGCGGAGCGCCCCTGGGCCACTGGGCTCGCGCTGCAGCAGCCCACCAGCCGCGCGCAGGAGTGCGCAGGCCGCGCGAACGTCCTCCTCTCCAGGAAGTGTGCCAGTGAGGCACACACCGTCCCTCGCGAGGAGCAACTCCGCAGCGACCACGCCGGCCACGCCAGCAGGGGCCAGGCCCTCTGAGATGAGGCCCGCGATGAGTCGCATGACCGAGTCTGTCCGCCCCCGCCGTGCCGCAGCCCACTGCGCGGCGCTCGTGACACCCTCGCTGGCTGCATCGGGGGTCGCCGCGTGCACGGCTGGCAGCCACAGCTCCAGCGAGCACGCCTCCGCCAGCAGCTCATCGAGCCCGGCGCGTTCTGGACTGCCACCCTGGCAGCCGCCCCCCGCAGCTGCAGAGAGCCGCTGGTGAAGGCTCCGCCCCAGCGCCGCCAGAGTCCCAACCCGATCGCTGCAACCGCCAGGGGCGATGGCCACACGCACCAGCGCAGAGGCGAGGAAGCGGAACTCTGCCGGCTCTGAGAGGAGGCTCGCCAGCTGCTTGCAAACGGCCTCCAGGCTGTCGGGCCGCACGCGTTCCAGCAGGGACTGCACGGTGCGCCGGAGCTCCTCGGGCACTGGACGGGGGGGCGGCCGCTCGGCGTGGGCAGTGCCGGCGCTTGGCCGCCGCCACCTTTCCAGCTGCTGGAGCCTCTCGCGCTCCACACCGTTGCCGAGGGCAGCCGCGCCGCTACGAGCACGCGGCAGCGGAGGCAGCGGCACCAGGCCTTTCCTCGGGAGTTCCTCGAGCTCGGCGGCGGCCCCCGCGCTGGCCCGCCAAGGGGCCGCGATCACCCCTTCGGGCTCGGGGTCGTCCTCGCGCAGGCCCAGCAGCAGCCGGCCCGTGTCAGCGTCGAGCCCAGACATGCGCAGGCCATCCACCTCGTCCCCGGCCCGGAGACCAGCGGCTCCAGCAGACCACGGCAACAGTGCTGCAGCCGCCAGGCCCACCTCGACGTAGGCGCCACGCTCGTCCGTGTAGGCCACGATGCCCTCCAAGCACGACCCAACGTTGGGCGCTGCGCCGAAGCCTGGCGAGACGTCCCAGAAACCGCCATCGTCGCTGTCGCAGTGGCCCAGGTCAGCCCACGAGTCGCCGTGGAGGGGGAGCTCCCGAGACGGCGCCGCCGCCATGGTGCCCAAGTCCGGGGGGGTCTGACACGCAGGCAGCGGGCGACCCCATGAACCCGACTACAGACACGCGCGCGCACACAGGGACGCAGACACAGAAAGCATACACAGACACACAGGCGCGCGCAGGGCGCCAGCGACCCAGGGGGGGAGACAGCACGACGACGACAGAGCGACAAGAGGAAGACGAAAGAACAGCGAGATCGGAGGAATCAACATCGGCATCGACATAACTTGCGGGGGATCGCGCGAACTTCTTGGATCGGCGCTGGACCCCCCTGGCGGCGCCTCTGGCGCCGCGCCCCGCGCGCCAGGGGTGTCCAGAGCCGATCCAAGAGATTCGTTCGGACCTCTGCGCGAGAGAGAGAGAGAGAGATGAAGAAAGCAAGAGAGAGAGAGAGAGAAAGAGAGCCAGCCATGGACAAAGAGAGAGAGAGAGAGATAAAGAGAAATACGACGCTTCTGTTGCACAAGAAATGTTGTAAATCCCTCCTCCCTCCTCGTCCTCCTCCTCCTCCTCCCTCCTTCCCGAGGGGGCGGGGGGCGAGGGGGGAAGCGGGGGGCGAGGGGCGGGAGCGGGCGCAGGAGCGGAGGAGGAGCGCGCAGGAGCGACGGTGGGATCACGTGGGCCAGGCCGAACGAGCCAGCGGGCCCCGCCCGTTCCCCCCCCCCCCCCTCCCCCACGCCAGAAGAATCCACGGTGGCACGACTTCGGGCTTGGGGCAGGGACTGGAACGCGCTGCCACCTAGCGAACGGATGGCGCTCGCGCGCGGTCCCGCTTCTGACGACTCGGCGAAAGAGACGCGAGGCGCGCAGGAGCGGCGGCGGGGCCGGCTAGATGGCAGAGTGGGAGCGTGCATGGATAAAGAATGAGGTTGGGGCGAGGAGTGATCCTGGGACGATGAAGTGCGAGGCGGGGAAGGCGGAGAAGCAGGGGGGAGGGCGGGGGCGAGAACGGGACAGGAGGAGCAGGGAGGGGGGAGGGGACGAGGGAAACGAGGAGGAGGAAGAGAGGAGGAAGTTGAGGGGGGACATCAGGCGACGTACGGGGAGGATGCGCACGAGAGTGGGGAGGGGTAGGTGAAAGGGGAAGAGGAGGAGCAGGAGGAGGAGGAGGAGGAGGAGGAGGAGGAGGTGATGGAGGAGGAGGAGGAGGTGATGGAGGAGGAGGAGGAGGAGGTGATGGAGGAGGAGGAGGGGAAGGATAGGAGGAGGGCAATTAGGATGGCGACCAGGACGAGGATGATGAGACCAAACAGTGACAGGAGGGGAGTCTGTATGAGGATGCATGAGAGCGAGCAACAGAAAACGTGGGAAAAAAAGAGAAGCGAGCGGTAACAGAAACGAAGGCAGTTCATGAGGCAGTGGATGCCGAGGGTACAGACCCTTTTCTGCATCAGTTCAGCAATCTGGTCCTCGGAAGCGCTGCTGCGTGCACCTGGAAGGTCAGGACTACTGAGCTGAAGGATTTCAACGCGCTAGCGAACCGAACTCCTTCAATTCTCGAGGCCTCCTGAACAAAGACTTTGATACCAGAGAATTTGGGCCGCCCAGGGAACTGTAGCCGTCAGTCGACTTTGTTCCCTGCGTATGCAATGTTCACAATCCTTAGCAATCTCATGGTGACGCTCAGGCGCCCAGTCGTTTGAACTGAAGGATTTCAGAAGCCGCACATGGGCGGCGCAGGAATGGAAGACAAGCCATATGAACACAACCTTTCGGAGGTCCGCACGGATTTCCTGGATTTGCGCTGCACCCGCCCCTCCCTGGCGTGAAGAGCGCGCCAGGGGCGGCGCTGGAGGCGTCTCCGGAGGGTTGCAGCACAGATCAAACAAATCCGCGCAGAGCTCAGAAAGCTGGTGTTTATGGAATGTGGTCTTCACCGGGGGAAGAACAGAGACCTGCACTTTCGCAAGCAAGCCGTCCGACCAGCAGCCACCTCAGACCGCGTGGCCCTCGTACTCGGCAGCAGAGCGCACATTGGCGCCGCCCTGAGCTCAGATGTGCTGGGAGGCGCGTGTGGGCACGAAGACCTTCCCCGAGAGCCTGCTTCGCGGCACGCCAAGGGGGGTGGGGCCGGAAACGAGGATAGGCTTCTAATAGAACCATTTAGCTTCGAGCGATCCCAACCCGAGAACGCAAAGTGCGGGCCTGCAAGTCCGGCAGCACGCAACGAACATGTCACGAATTACGGCCCACAAGTGCGGAAGGAGGGAGGACGAGGAGGAGGAGGAGGACGAGGAGGAGGAGGAGGAGGACGAGGAGAAGGGAAACGACCGCTGCGCACAACGCGCGGCGAGATCACACGCGGCGAGGAGGCGGCGGCGGGGTGTGAGCCACCCGACCCCGCCGCTAGGCGCGCCCGCCCGCGAAAACGCGAGGCGGGATGCCCATGGAGCACCAGCACTCCTCGCCCGTCGAAGGCACGCGGCGAACCATCTCGGAACACCGTCACACGTTTGGGGCGGGCGGCCGTGGCGAGCGGCGTGTGCGAAGCAGGGCGGGCGCTCGCTTCTCAGAGAAACCAGTACTCGGTCCTCGAACCATGAACGTCAAACATCGGCAGCGGAGGGGGGGGGGAATGAAAAGGGGCGGGCCTACTCAGAAGGCTCGAAGCCCCCCGGCCTTCTGAGACATGTTGACATGTTCTAAGCTTCTTCCCAAGGACACGGAAAATTTCTCAGAAGGCGCAAGCCTTCTGAGAAGTCCCGCCGCCTTCTGAGAAGGCCTTCTCCTTCTCAACTCCCCCTCGGCGCCAATACAACACATTGACGTCTTGGATGGCAGCTTGAACAACTGCGCAGGATGCCCCCTGCGAAGGGTCCAGGGGCCCTCTTGAAACGGCTTTGTGTTGGAGGGGCGGCGCGATCAGGGGGGGGCTTCTAAGAGGCACAGTGCATGGGATTCTTGGCGCGGTATGAAAGAGGAAAGCGCGAGGAGGAGAAGGAAAAGGAAGACGAAAGAAGGAGGAGGGAGGAGGAAGAGGAACGAGGGAAAAGGGCTAGAAGAGGAGAGCAGAACGGGGGCGCCGACCTCCTCCGGCTTGTGGACCCCCCTCCGGCGCCTGGGCGGCTCCTGGGACCCCCGTCCGGGCCCTTGGGCACCGGTCAAGCCCACGGGGTCTAGGCGTGGCGCCCGGATGGCTTCTCAGCTTCTCAGGAAGGATCGGGGGCTGCTGCAGATCTTGACTGCCCCGACACGGGAAGCGCAACAAGTGGCGCATTGATAAGGACGGAACTCAACACGTAGACTGAGAGCGTAGGTCCGCCGCGACACGTTCGCTGAATCGTGGGCCAATACTTGGAGCAAGCACGCAACGTATTGACACGGACTTTTTGGGCACGGTACGTGTTGCACTTCAAAACGACCGACTCGAGGAAGCCGAGCGCAGCCTACATACGAAGCGTGGCCACAGGGGCGCGGGTCAAGAGCGCGAGCCTTTTCGCCGAAGACCCGATGACCCGTGGAGATCCCCCTACGACAGCGAAGAGCATCCTGAGGCGGAGCACCTATGGGCACGAAGACACCGCCCAATTGTTGTTTCCGCCGGAGCCTTGCTGAAGCTCGATGCTACGGACGGCGCTCCACTCGCCGCGCCCACAACACTGAGAAACACAAGCCGTGCACAGAACAATTGGCCCGCTTCTCGCACTGTGCTGGCTCCTTCGGCCCCGCTTTACGGGTCGAAAACACACGGAAAACAACGATGCGGAAAACAGCCGCAGAGGCAACACGGCATGGATATTTTCCTGTTTTTCCACACCGAATGGCCCTCCAGGCCGCTCCTGCGGGGTACCGCAAGGTTCGAAACCAAATGGTTCTGGCGGTCAATCCCCAAATCCGGCATGTATGTGCTCAAACGGATGGGAAGGAGGAGGAGGAGGAGGAGGAGGAGGAGGAGGAGGAGGAGGAGGAGGAGGAGAAGGAGGAGGAGGAGGAGGAGGAGGAAGAGGAGGAGGAGGAGGAGGAGGAGGAGGAGGAGGAGGAGGAGGAGGAGGAGGAGGAGGAGGAGGAGGAGAGAGGAGAGAGGAGAGAGGAGGGCTGTAAACGAAAACGCGCAGACTCGCATCATCTAGTTTCGCGCGTTGCACGGCGGGGAAGATAAATCGCACCCAGCGGTGATGACCGAAATGAAAATGACCACGTACAGAACAAATCCTGGGTCAGCGCCAGCCGACTCCAGCGAATCCGGGCGCCCCACTGACCATCGGCGTGTTCCCAGGGGGGCCGCACAACTGGGAGATGCAACCAAGAGGATCACACGAGGAAGAAGGGGGACAGAAACAGACGGAGGGAGAAAGGAGGGAGAGATGAACACAGCCCTTCTGGTTGTCCGGCGGGCGCCGGAAGCTGACGGAGAGACCGCGCGCGCTAAGCGAACGGCACAAGAGAGAGATGAGAGGAGGCAGAGGAGGGACAGAGAGCGGGGAGGCGGCAAGAGAGATGCCACGTCACGACCGCATTCGGACGATGAAGAAGTGGATGCTGTAGGTGTTGCTGCTGCCCTAGCGGGCCCGTTTGGCTTAGTGTGCGGCCAGGGGTGCGCGGGAGGCCACGCCGTCTGCCAGCGCCTGCGGCCAAGCGCCCGTGGCGGAGGCCTGCCCGTGCCGCGCTGAGTCGGTGGCCCTGAAGGTCGCGTGCAGCCCGAAAGCACCGAGGGCAAACGTGCGCGGCGGCGTCCCGTTTTGCTGTTGAAATTCATCCAGCCTTGATGCCGGGGGGCCCTGGTGAAGGCAAAATTGTGCAAGGTAAAACCGCGTCACGATGGGGCAGTAGGCGTAGTGTCGTAGGTCGTCATGTCCATGCTTGCAACCAAAGACACGGAGATGCCGACTTGGTGGCCCGGCCATCTAAGAATGCCTTGAGTACAGCGGCCCACACGCAGGGCGGCACCATCGGCCCAAGGCGGCGGAAGGTACCTTCAAGGCGCTGCACCAAGGGCCCCCGCACCGTTAGCATGGGCAAGCGGTCCACTCTGCGGCGCAAGTGCCGGAAGAGGCCCTGCGTGTCACGAGTACACAACACCTCTCCGCATCGGCGTTGCCGGCGCTGCTTCGGAATAGGGGAGGTGGCAGAACCTTGCAGGAGCAAGTCCACGGTGAGCCCCTGGGTCGTCGCTACTGTTTCGAGCCGGCTCTGCGTCTCGAGGACCGTGCTGATGACGTCGTCGTCGGATCATGGGGCCCAGGCGGCGAAGCG